TTGCTTAAGAACTATTGTCATATATAATAACCTCAAAATAGATATAACAAAAAAGATATATGTACTTTTTAAATGTGAATATGTAACAAGCATATTAATATTGATATTGCATATTAATGTTGAATTTAAACACTTTATCTAAAAATTAAGAATAATTATTCATACTAATCATAAACTATTATCATGAAAGCACATCTTATTTGTTGTGTTAAATTACCATAGTGCCTAAGGTATTTGACTGTTAACCAGAAGATTGGCGGTTCATTCCCACCAGCCACTCTGTGGAAGGAAGACTGGCAATCTACTTCCATAAACAGTTACCGCCTTGGAAACCCAAGGGGGTCACTATGAGTTGGAATTGACTCGATGGCATGAAGTTTATATATATACATATATTTATACTGATACACTAAAACTCACTGCTTTCTAGTCAGATCTGACTCATAGCAACCTCTCCTTGGGTTTCTGAGGTGGTATCACTACAGAAGTATATTTCCCAACCATAATCACATTCATAAACATTGTAATTATAATTTTTTTTTTTAAATTGTGATTTGGGTGAAAGTTTAACAGAGCAAATTCACTTTCCATATAGCAGTTCACATATATTTTGTCTCATGAGATTGACTATAATTTACCACAATGTAACAGCCCCCCTCCCACTTCCTCCCCATAGTTACCTCTTTCCTGTATCCTTCTCTCCGTGCACTCCTGCCCCCTGAGCTATGTCCCTGTGCATACACAGCCCTTCTATTTTCCCATGATTGTTCTCTCCAAGGAGTGTATCTACATAGTGTAAATGTTCACCTCATATGCTTGTCTTTTGTTTGGCTGGAAGCCACAGGTGTGGGTTCAATTCCAGACCTGATGGGCAGCTAGGGGCCATAATCTCAGTGGTTCCAGAAGGCTCTATCAGACCAGTATACCTGGTCCTTTTTTTTTCCCCAAAATTATTTTGGGTTTTGTTCCACATTGTTCTCCCACTCTATTCAGGATCTCATATAGATCCCACTGTGAGTGGTTGACAGTGATATCCAGGCACCATCTAGTTCTTCTGGTCTCATAGTCATGATCTCCTGAAGATCACATGGTGTACCAGTCACTTGGACTAATTTTTTCCATGAATCTTTGGTTTTCTTCATTCTTCTTTGCTCTGGATGAGAAAAGACCCATTGTTTCACCTAGATGGCTGACTGCAAGCTTTTTAGATACCAGTTGCTCCTCGCCAAAGCAGGATGTGGAACAAATGTTTCTGTGTAGTATGCCATGCCAATTGAGCTTGATGTCCCCTGCGACTATGGTCCTGAGCCAATAGGTTCAACTACTTGCTCCCTCTGGGTAGCTGTCTGTGACCAATAACTGACTACAACTTTGTCCCAAGGGCAAATTATTGAATGATGCAGGAATCATCAAAAGAAGATGAAAGTAGTACACAGAGTCATTGCACCAAAAAGAATTGATCAACATACAACCATTTCAGGAGATAGCATGTGATCAAGAACAAATAGTGTTGAAGGAAGAAGTCTAAGCTGCACTGAAGGAATTGGTGAAAAACAAGGCTTCAGGAATTGATGGAATACCCACCAAGATGTTTCAATAAAAGGATGCATTTCTGGAGGAAGTAACACATTAATGTCAAGAAATCTGTAAAACAGCTGCCTGACAAACTGACTAGAAGACATCAATACGTATGCCCATTACAAAGAAAGGTGATCTAGCAGAATGTGGAAATTATCAAATCTTATCATTAATATCACATGCAAGTAAAATTCTACTGCAGATAATTAAAAAAATGGTTGCAGCAGTATACTGACAGGAAACAGCCAGAAATCCAAGTGAGATTCAGAAGAGGGCATGGAATGAGGGATATCATTGCTGATGTCACATGGATTTTGGCTGAAAGGAAAGAACACCAGAAAGATGTTTCCCTGTGTTTTATTGACTATGCAAAGGGATTTAACTGTGTGGAACATAACAAATTATGGACAACATTGCAAAGAATGGGAATTCCAGAACATTTAATTGTGTTCATGAGGAATCTGTACATAGACCAATAGGCTGTTGTTTGAACAGAACAAGGGAATACTGCACGGTTTGAAATAAGGAAGGGTGTGCATCAGGGTTTTACCCTTTCACCATATTTATTCAATCTGTATGCTGAGCAAATAATCTGAAAATCTTGACTATACAAAGAATAATGTGGCATGAGCACTGGAAGAAGACCCATTAAAAACTTGAATATGAAGATGATACTTTTGAAAGTGATGATGACTTGAAGCACTTACTGATGAAGATCAAGGACTACAGCCTTCAGTATGGATTAAACCTCAACATAAAGAAAATAAAATTTCTTACAACGAGACCAGTAAGCAACATCACAATAAATGGAGAAAAGATTAAAGTTGTGAAGGATTATTTTACTCAGATCCACAATCAATGTCGATGAAAGTTGCTATCAAGAAATCAGATGTCATATTGCCCTGGGAAAATCTGCTGCAAGGGACTACTTTAAAGTGTTAAAGAGCAAAGATGTCACTTTGAAGACTATGATGGCCCTGATCCAAGCCAGGTATTTTCAATCACCTCATATGCATATGAAAGTTAGACAATCAGTAAGAAAGACTGAAGAAGAGTTGGCACCTTTGAATTGTGGTGTTGGCAAAGAATACTGGAAATATCATGGATTGTCAGAAGAATGAACAAATCTGTCCTGGAAGAAGTACAGGTGGAGTGCTCCTTAGAAGCAAGAATACCCATACTTCATCTCACCTACTTTGGTCATGTTGTTAGAAAGGACTGGTCCCTGGAGAAGGATATCACGCTTGTTAAAATAGAGAGTCAATGAAAAAGGGTGACTTTCAACAAGATGGATTCACACAGTGGCTGTGACAATGGATTCAAGCACAGCAAATATTGTGGGCATGGAGAAGGACTGAGTTATGTTTTGTTCTGTTTTACAGTCACTATGAGTCAGAGTTAACACAATAGCACCTAATAACAACAACAATAGTGCCTAGACTGTAAAATAACTAAAGAACTCTTGTTGTTGTTGTTGTTATGTGCCGTCGAGTCGGACCTGACTCATAGCAATCCCTCCTTGGGTTTCCGAGGCAGTATCACTACGGAAGTAGATCGCCCAACCTTCCTTCCGAGGAGTGGCTGGTGGGTTTGAACCACCAGCCTTCTGGTTAGCAGTCACATGCTTTAGGCACTACGCTACCAGAGCTCCTCTAAAGAACTCTTACAACTCAATAATAAAAGATTCAACTCAGTTAAAAAATGGGCAATGGGCCTGTGTAGACATTTCTCCAAAGAAGGTATATGCATGGCCAATAAGCAATATGTCACTGCCATCAAATTGATTCCAACTCATAGGGACCATACAGGACACAGTAGATGACCCGAAAGTTTTCCAAGGCTACAAATCTTTATGGAGGCCGACTGTCTCATCCTTCTTCTGTGGAGTGGTTGGTGGGTTCAAACTGCCAACCTTTTGTTCAGCAGCCAAATGCCTTAAACACTATGCCACCAGAGCTCCTTATTCATAGATAAATGGAGGAAAGATTGAAGTTGTTGGATCCACCCATGGAAATAGCAGTCAAGAAATCAAATGATGTATCACATTAAGCAAATCTGTGGCAAAAGACCTTTTTAAAGTATTAAAGAACAAAGACGGCATTTTGAAGAGTAAGGTGCCCCTAACTTAAACCATGGTGTTTTCAGTAGCCTCATATTCATGTGTGATAGCTGTACAATGAAAAAGAAAGATTACAGAAGAATTGATGCATTTGAATTGTGATGATGACAAAGAATATTGACTATACCATGGGCTGCCAAAAGAATAAATAAATATCATGGAAAAGTATAGTCAGAATGCTCCTTAGAAGTAAGAATGGCCAGACTTCATCTCTCATACTTTGATCACATTATCAAGAGGGACCAGTACCTGGAGGAGGATATCATGCTTGGTAAAGTCAAGGGTTACCAAAAAAGGGGAAGACCCTCAGTGAGATAGATTGACACAGTGTCTGTAAATATGGGCTCAAGCATAGCAAGGACTGTGAGGATGCTGCAGGACCAGGCATTGTTTTATTTTGTTGTATACAGAATTGCTATGAATGGGAGCCAACTGAATGGCACATTACAACATCAATAAGCACATAAAAAGATGTTCAACAACAACAGTCATTTACAAAATGCAAATTGGAAAGATAAAGAGATACCACTTCACACCCACCAGGATGCCTATAATCAAAACAGCAGATAACAAGTTGGAGATATTAGAACCCTCACATATTGCTGATGGGAATGCAAAAAAGAAAAATAGTTTAGGGGTGTCCCAAACGTTTCACATAAAGTTACCATATGATTCAACCATTCCATCCTTAGGCTTTTACCCAAGAGAACTGAAAACATATTTCCACACTAAAACTTGTACATGAATATTCATAGAACTATTATTCATAGTAGTCAAAAGTGAAAACAAGTCAAATGTTCATCAACTGATGAATGGACAGCAAATAAAATATGATAATGGCCATACATTATTCAGTAATAAAAATGCACTTGATTGCTAACCAGAAGGGTGGTGGTTCAAACCCACCACCCACTCCTCGGAAGGAAGATGGGGTAATCTACTTCCATAGTGATACTGCTTTGGAAACCCAAGGAGGGGTCGCTATGAGTCAGGGCCGACTCCACAGCACATAACAACAATAACATGTCTTTCAACATAGATAACTCTTGACTACATTGCACTAAGTGAAAGAAACCAGTGATAAAAAAATCTACATATTATTGCATTTATGTAAAATGCCTAGAACTGGCAAATCCATTGAGACAGAAAAGATTAGTCATTGTCTGTGGTGGGGGTGTAGGGAGGCACAGTTGGAGGAAGTAGGGAGAGACTGGGAATGGTACAGGGTTTCTTTTTGGGGTAAAAAATATTCTAAAGGTTATTGTGATGATGGTTACATAATTCTATGACTATACTATAAACCATTGAATAGTAAACTTTAAATGGTGAATTGTATGGTATGTAAATTACAAATCAATGAAACTATTTTTCAAAAAAGAAAGATATTCTAAACTAACCTGTTTGAAAGAGAATTTCTTTTTCTTATAGTCTAAAAAGCCTGCTACATAGGAGACTCCATTATCAGACTATCCCAGCTCCACTCTCTCAGATAAATTATCCAGCATACATTTTTATTCTGGTCTTGGTGTTTCAGTTTGACTTATGAAACAAATGGCTTTTGATTCCAAGCTGCAAAATTTTGAACTCAACCTTCTTCATCTATATCACCCTAAGCTACTATCAAAAAAGGAGCTCTGGTGGTGTAGTGCCTAAGGCAATTGACTCCTAACCAAAAAGTTGGCAGTTCAAACCCACCAGCCACTCCTTGGAAAGAAGACTGGGAAATCTACTTCCATAGAAATACTGCCTTGGAAACTCAAGGAGGGGTCGTTATGTGTTGGAACCACTATGAGTACAGCACCCTAAACTACTACCAAAAAGATTAGTATCCTTGCTTTTGAGAATATTATTTTTCATATCCATAATTTCATGTTCCTTTAGTATAGATAATCTACTCACCTCTTCTCCTCTTCTCAAGAAAGGATATCCAACTTTACATGTGATATTACGAGTGGATTCACAACTGTCTTTTTGAATAGCCTAGAAAGAAAAGTAGAAAGAGTTAGAGCAAACAAGCAGGCTGCCTAGTTGACCTTTGTTTTCTACATTTTTTCCAGCTATGCCTTGGTGACTGCCTTGTCAAAATTAGCTCCTTAATTTAGTTGGGAGTTTTCATTTCCCATAGCCCATGGAAATCCAAATACATCAGTTAAACTAAGTCTGACTAAAGGCTCTGAATTGGAATCCCCATTGCCTTTGAGTTGATCTCAACTCACAGAAAGCCCAAAGGACAGAGCAGAACTGCTCCATAAAGTTTCCAAGGTTGTAAATGTTTACAGAAGCAGATTGCTACATTTTTCTCCCACAGGGCAGCTGGTGGGTTACAACCACTTCTCAGTTAGCAGCAGAGCATTTAATCACCGCACCAACAGGGATCCTTGAACTGGAACAACTGGATTTAAATGCTTACTCCACCATGTTTAGCTTTTTTCTTGTCAAGACTCCTCACCTCTCTAGGCCTGATTTTCTGTCACATGGTGTCAAGTCGGTTCCAACACACAGCAACTCCATTTGGGCTTCTGAGGCAGTAAATCTTTATGGAAGTTGATTGCCCAGTCTTCCTTCCATGGAGTGGCTGGTGGGTTTGAACCACCAACCTTCTGGTTAGAAGTCAAATGCCTTAGGCTCTGAGCTACCAGTGAATGTTAATTTTGTACAAAATATTTTCTAGTCTTTTAAAATCAATATAATAAAAACATGTTGCTCAGTAGTATGAAAAGTAGCTTCAAAAATGATTATCAGAAGAATGAATGATTAAACGACTAAAAGTTTACCTCAACTCCTGAAAATATTAGGTTTGGAGAATAGTCCACGATTGTCCTGGTGTTATAGGCACTGTCCCTTTTATTTTTTACTGTTAGGCTAATGTTGAGTTTATCATTGTGAGACTTGACAACCAGCAGGCCCTTCTCTCTTGTGGATACATTCAGGCCAAGGTCAGAGATACATTTTTCCTTGTTCCCACAATCTTTGGCAAAAGGAATCTAAAAATGGTCACAGAAAATCATTTTTCAAATTTAGTTAAGCATTGTTGAAAAATGGCATATTAATTTGCATAACAGAAATGACATATTGTCAAAATAAGTGAAACAACTCATAAAGAAAACAGATTTCCCTACAGAAATCCTAAGAGGTTTTGTATTGGTTCCTATAATTTATTGTTGTTGTTGTTATGTGCCATCGAGTGGACCCGACTCATAGCGACCCCTCCTTGGGTTTCCGAGGCAGTATCACTACGGAAGTAGATTGCCCATCTTCCTTCCGAGGAGTGGCTGGTGAGTTTGAACCGCCAGCCTTCTGGTTAGCAGTCAAGTGCCTTAGCCACTATGCTACCAGAGCTCCCCCTATAATTTATAGGGGAGAAAAACAAACTTTTACTTTTGGATATGTATTCTTCTCAACCTCTAAAGACTGCATACTTTTCATAGACATTTTCCACTGGCCTTAATTTACCAGTGTAGAACAACTTAAAAAAATCAAACTAAGGGCTCTAAGTTCTAAACATATCAGATATCATTTAAACACTTAAGTTGAATTATGCATTTTCTACTAAAAACAATCAAAATCCAGTAAGTATAAGAGTAAGGGAGCAGTCAAAAGGGGCAGAGAATGGCCAAGCCACTGTTGTTCTTGACTTGTCTTATTCATTATACCAGTCCCCTATATCCACCCCCATCACCACAAACTGTCCATTCTACTCCTTTTTTTAAATGTCTCTCAGATCCTTTCCTCCCTCTCCATTTCCACCACCACCTGTCTAGTTCAGGCATCTGCAATTTCTCCCAGAACTAAAGGGACATCCTCCTAAACAGTTCTCTGTGCCCATTCTTGTTTTTCTCCAATCATTTTCCATATTGTAGCAGAAGTAATCCTTAGAAAACACAAATACAGCCCTATTACTGAACCAATTAAAATCTTCAATAGCATTCCTCTGCTCTTTAAAAAGTTTAGAATCTGTACAAAATAAAAGCAAAGTCCCAAATGATCTGGCCTCTGTCTGTGCCTCGACCTCTTCTCACATCACCTTCTCTTCTTGCCTTTTAGTTTCAGCCACACAGGTGAATTTAGTTTAGTTTCTTTCATGCCTCAGGATCTTCACACATACTATCCTCTGCCTGGTACATTGTTCCCCCAACTTCTCTAAATACAATGGAAAACTCATCCCATCACTCAGGTTTGTTATTAGATATCATAATCCCATGGGAGTGCTCCGTGACTCCTGAGTCTAGGTGGAAGCTCCATACCCACTGTCTTCGAGTTGATTATGACTCACAGCAACCCCCACTGGGTTTCCAAGGCTGTAAATCTTTATGCATCTAGATTGCCTCATCTTCCTCCTAAAAAGCAGCTGGTGGGTTTGAATCACTGACCTTTAGGTTAGCCGCCAAATGCCTTACCCACTACATCACCAGAGCTCCTTCCAGAAGCTCCATAGAGCTCTGAAATTCTCCATAGCAATCACTTTAATTGTCAATATTTAATACTTATTTCTAGGCTAGGCTTTCCATAAAATTTTCTTTGGCTAATTTGTGGAAATAGATCACCAGGGCTTTCTTCCTAGTATGTCTTAGACTGGCAGCTCCACTGGTACCTGTCCTCTATGTGTTACTCTGCAAATATATGCAATACCATTGGCATAGTTTCCAACAACATGGCAATACACAAGCCAACACAGTATGACAAACTGACAGATGGGCTAGAGAACAACGTCTGATTCATTTGCTTTGGACATATCATCAGGAAAGATGAATCGTTAGATAAGGACATAATGTTTGGTGAAGTAGTGAGCCAACTAGTGTGAGGGAGACCCTAGGTGAGATGGATTGACACAATAAGCACAATGATGGATTTGAACATGCTCGTCATTGTGAGGGCGATGCAGGACCAGGCAGCATTCTGTTCTGTTATACATTAGGTTGCCAAGAGTTGACTAGACTGCAGCTAATAACACTAACATTTGAAGCCGGATTATAAACTTTAATGATTGGTGTGTATAAGACACTCGATAATTATTTTTGGAAGAAAGGAAGGGAGGGCAGAGGATAGGTGTATTGGGAATTGATTGCCCATCCCTAATGTTTCCTCCACTGGTGCCACACTTTTGACCTGCCCCCTTTATCTACTCTCTCATTCATTCTTTCTCAGAGATGAGGCAGTGGACTCTGAGTGTAATTTTGAAAGCAGGAATTCGGTGAGCACAGCTCAATCCTTCCTCTCTCTTCTGCTCTTGAGGTGGCAGTATGTTCACAGGAAGCATTCATTCTTCTCTATTGTTCATTCTGAAGTTTTCCAAGGTGGGCCTCCATGAAGCAGGCCTGACTTTGACCAGGGCTCCTGGTGATGGAGTTGGTTATCTGTGGCTGAAGTATGTGGTTTTCTATGAGGACATTCAGTATTGAGTAATCTTTGTCAGTAACAAAGAGAGAGTTTTAATCTCCAACTAGTTGACTTTTATGTCTTTCTTTCCACTTGTCCTAAATTTGGGCAAGGTGAAAGTGAATGTCATTAATTAATTATTTCAATTTTCAACAATAAGAAGTTAGAAGGAAGCATGAAGGAAGATGTAAAAGAGTCTAATTCTTTATTTGTTATTGTTATTTATTTCAAATATAATTGGTTTAGGAGTGTGTGTGTGCTTCAAGTTTGTTCCCAAAATATTCACAAATAGGTATTCCAAAAGTTTAAAAAAAAAAAAAAAAAAAGCAAATCTAACTTACATATTCATGTACTGAGTTTGGTAGAGAATCATCAAGAACTGGTCCATTTTCTGGATCATTAAGATTAAAATCCAAAGTTATCCTTACAGAGTCCCGAAAATCATGCTTGTCCTAGATGTTGAAACATAAAGACATCATTGGCATCATATTTACTGCATGCTATAACCTTGTTATGGCTTCCTTTTTTGCCTCTGTGGGTCAGGTTTACCGGAATATTCTTGTGCATCTAAGCTGACATATGACCTCCTCAGGCTTTTGCCTCACTGGAGGACCCTGCCATTCTTCTCTGACAAAGGAAATGGCTGAACTGTAGAGGCATCAGATTATGACCAGTTGACTAACCTATAGTTCCTCAGAGGAGCCTGCTAGAGCAATGGGTTATGTTATACCTTGCAATATCAGGATACACCACTCTGAGCTACTTGAATAACAATATCATTTCTCTTGAGACCTGAAGCTAAAAATCACAATATAATACTTTTGCAAATCTCCCAACTCCAGATGGGCAAGCTTTCTTTGAATTGAGTTGCATTTAGTTAACATAATATGTAGCCAGAGGTATAAGAAGGAGCTCTGATGCAGTAATGTCTAAGGCATTTCACTATTAACCAGAAGGTTGACAGTTCAAACCCACCAACTGCTTTGCAAAAGGAAGAATGGGCAGTCTACTTCCGTAAAGATTTACCACCTCAGAAACCAAATGGGGGTTGCTATGAGTCAAAATTGACTTGATGTCAGTGAGTTTTTTTTTTCCTTTTTGAGAGCTACAAGAATTTTATAATGTGAAATGATACGTGTATTATGTGAATATGATTCATATTGTTATGATTATCATCAGTAATAACCATAATTTATTGAGTGTCCAGTATTTTGAGCTTGATACATAATATTGTTAATTATTTCAACAATTCTCTAAGGTGAATAACTACTAAGGTTACTATTTTGCAGATGAAAAACTGAGCCATTAAGTCAATCAGAATGTAGGAAATCTAGGATATGCATCTGAGCCTGATTGACTCCAGAAAATAATGTTAAAAGTATCCATTATAATCCAAAAGTAACTTTAAAAAGTTTTAAACTAAATAATTTCTTTTAGCATTTGTATCTAGACTTTATTAGATGCTGTGTTTGGGGACAATTATAAACTGCAAAGAGTTTCAGCAGTTGGAGGCAGGGCCAGATTTGGTTTTATGTCTTGTTTAATTTTCTCCAAGTTCTAACTCATAAATGTTCAGTCTTCAGTAAAAGAATAGGAAGAACAATTCCACTTTTATTTTGATTATAGTGTTGACAGAATAAGATATTTTGATATCAATCATGTGGAATGTTAACATAAAAATCACTGAGGGAGACTTCCAGCAAGATGGAGGAATAGGCAGACAAGCTAGACAGACCCTCTTCAACAAAGAAAAGAGAAACCAATTGACAGAGATACAGAAAATAATCCTGGAGCCCTGAGCTTTGAAAAGAAGGATACGGCAGTGGATTAGGAACCAACGAGTGGAAAAACCTGAACAAAAACAGTGAGTACAGAGACAATGGTCAGAGCAGTGAACTGCCAGCTTCTCGGATGGGACCAAAAGCCTGAATATTTCCAAGTGGTGTTGGGACCTAAAGATCAGCCTTGGTCACCAAGGGCTGCAGGAATGACCGCACTGGTGGCCTATGACTAGGAAGAGAAACAGCAAGAAGGGAGACAACCTGAGCTGTGGACTTTCGGCTGTCCGGAGGGTGCAGCCATTTTTATTGTTTAAGTGGCAGCCATTTTGGATATTTAAAGTGACCGAGGGTGCAGCCATTTTGAATGTTCATAGGTGGTGCTCATTTTGGACATTTAAAGTGACCAAGGACACAGCCATTTTGAATGTTCACAAGGTGTGGCCATTTTGGATTTTAAAGTGACAGCATTGTCATTCAGATTCCAGGGATCTAAGCATAGGCTCTGTTTGCCAAGGACAGCAGGGACATTGGGAGGCTGACAACAGGAAAGGTGGTGAGTGTAAAAGTGCTGCCAACTAGTGAACAGAGGAGCACAGCACAGTACCTTGCTTACATAGATAACAAACAAAATAAAGAAAAAAAAATCATGGGCAAGTCACTTCAACATACAATCACCAACTAAATATAAACACAAAAATGTCATAATGCCTCGGAGACAACAGAGAATCACAGTGCATGCAAAGAAGCAAGATAAAGCAGGAGAAACAAGGGACCAAGATTCAGACCCAAAACATATCCCTGAAGAAGACACAGCCATGGAACTCCCTGATAAGGAATTCAAATGAATTATAGTTAGGTATCCCCAATGAATTGAGAGACAGATCAAGGAAAACACTGACAAAAATGAGGAAAACACAGAGAAAATCTTAGAACAATTTTGAAAGACAATACGGGAACAAAATGACAAAATAAATGAAAAATTAGAAATGATACAAAATCTACACATAGACACATAGAAGATTAATACTAAATTTCAGAAATAGATAAGACATTGAATGGGAAAAACAATAGAATTGAATCAATGGAAGACAGAACTAGTGAGGTTGAAGGCTTCTTTAGAAAGTGATCAATTAGAAAAGAGATCAAAACAAAATGAAGAAAGCCTAAGGTTCATGTGGGATACCATCAAAAGGAATAACCTACATGTAATTGGAATTTCAGAACAGGAAGAAACAAATAAAAACCACAGATAAAATTGTTGGAAGATTTGTTGGAAGAGAATTTTTCTGGTATGATGAAAAATGAGAATGTATCCATTCAAGAAGTCCAACTAACCCCAAACCAGATAGACCCCAAAATAAAATCACCAAGACATATCATTATCACACTCACCAAAACCAAGACAAAGAAAGAATCCTGTAAACAGCATGACAATAATAAATAGTTACCCACAAGGGGCAACCAATAAGACTAAGCTTAGATTTCTTGGTAGAAACCATGCAGGCAAGAAGATGATAGGATGGTATATATAAAACCCTGAAAAGAGAAACGTTTCCAACCAAGAATTATGTACCCAGCAAAACTGTCCCTCAAATATGATGGTGAAATTAGGACATTTCCAGATAAGCAGAAATTAAGGGAATTTGTTAAAACCAGACCAACCTT